AACTCTTCTGCTTTCTTGCACTGGCAGTTTGGCTTGTAGATGTATGTAGTTGTTGATTGTCTACCCATACACCATTTTTCTCCCAGTATACTCTGCGATCTGCTTAGGTGAAGGGAGAGTTGCTCTGCACTATACATAATGGGATCACAGATTTGTGCACTGGAAATGCACAAATGTGTATGTGACTTTTCTGAAGAGCCTTTCTGCCCTAGTGGTGATGTGGTGGCAGGATGTAGGCCAGAGGGAATGACCCTGAATCCCTGGGTAAGAGTGGATAGTGTAAAGTAAAGAGGAGATGTGTGTTATGCTATAGCAGTGAAGAAGTTAATGGTCATATTATCTTGATAAATGGTTCATTAGCACAGTAAAGAAACCATTGAATACCTGCTCTTGAGATACTGGAAAAACTCTCTTGCATCCGGACTGTCCACGGCCCAGATGTGGGACCAGGGACAAAAATGAAGCTGAAAGATACGACAGAGCAGAGAACAGAAAACAGTAGAAATAATTTTCTCCAGTATAAGCAAGGTTTCAGGTATCTGCTACTTCACATTGACAGTTCTAGTGTTAGCAAACTCCAGTAACAGAGGGATGAAAGATCACTGCGACAGCCTGTGATATAGAGGCCACATTTCAACCAGTATCAAGAGTCTTTGTTGTGTGAGATAGTGAAAGAAAATACTGTAATTCCATGATGCCTGAAACGCATGACAGTAAATAATATTTTATCATTGCTTGTATCTGTCAAGTGGGTGCATGCAGCTTATAGTGACTTTGGTTTTATTAACTGAGGTAAACTTAATAATAAAGAATTTTCCTGATATAGTTCTATTATTTTTTCTTCTCAGAAGCAGTACCTGAGAATTTAAAGCAGCGCCTAGTACGGAATAGTAGTCCTCTTGGAAATTGGGTGTTGTAAAAGTATAATGTTCTGGAAAGGCTGAAATAAATTGGAAGGTGTAAAAGTTTTTTATTATATTAAAATGTAAAGCAATTCCAGCTGAGGAGTTGTGCCTGCTAATCTGTAGCATAAGCTTCAATTTGTAGTTGAAACCAATTTTCTGAAACTTGACTAGGCTGGTTTCTGTGTTATTAGGGGCAGGAACACCTCTTTGTTAAAAGTGGTTTGCTTTTTAATAGGGTTTAGCCATAATTGTCGGTTTTTTTGGTGGTGATTCAAAATAGTTCCACCTTAGGTTGGTCAATTTTTGTTGGCTCAATATCAGTTGCTACTAGCTTTCAACAGAAATGCTGCTTTAAGCTTGCCTTTCAGTGAATCACACGTTTGTACAATGACAGACTTGTTTGTTAAATGAACATAAGGACAGAAATAGATGAGCCTGTTTCAGGGTGAGTCACCTCCTGGTACATCTAGAGTCACCTTTCTCTCTAAACTGTCCTATTTTAATCAAAAGGAGTATTTTCACAGGGAAGTGCAGCTCTAAGATATGCATCAGTATCGTCCTAGTGTCACTGACTCGGCTTGTTCCTGTTTAAACAAACAGCAGATCGTGTGAGGAATCCCTTAGCCCTAGCTTGTTTCAACATTTCTATTAGTTTTGACATTTATCAATTCCTTTGGCTATATACTTTGTCTTTATAAGTACATTTGCTAGTCAGTCTTGTATGCTGTCTTTTCTTGCAGTTTCTTGCCTTTTTATCCTTCCTGCTCCTAAATTCCTCAGTTACATAAGGTTGGTGGAAATTGTTTAAATGTACATCCCAAATTCTCCAGTGAGGTTTGGCTAACCAGCAAGCTATTTAAGTGGTTTTGTCTCCTGGGTATGTCTTCATCCTCTGCTTTTCCAGGTTGCTTGAATATCCTTGAACCCATAATTTACCCTAATAACCTCTAAGGTTTTGAAATAATAAAATACTTAAATAACATTCTTTGGATAAATGCCCATTAAAATATAGCTTTATCTGTGAACTATCACACTCTCAAGAGAGTGGATTTTGCTCCTCAGATGATTAAGGGGATTTGCTGTCTGCTGTGTTACTGTGGTTTGTCCACTGTGAGCAGGCATACCCATCTTAACTCAAGCAGCAACTCGAAACAGAAAAGATGAAGAAAGTCTGTGAGAAAAATGGGACAAAGGGTAGGCTGTTGCTGTGTGTAATTCTCCCCCCACCCCATGCCTGGGTTCAGTTCTCTGGTCTACCATGTGATTTTCTGTGGGTTATGAAGCCTTCCTGTACTTTTGAAAAATAATTCTCTGCTCAACAGGGGTGTTGCTGGGGATAAATTAAGGGTGGTAAAGTGCCTAGCCATTACACAGGGGTAGTCTCATGCACGCAGGAAGGCTGTACTCAGATCCTTACTTCACAAGATAGGAAGAGGGAGATCACTTGATGTGCCATCACCAAATCCACAGGGCATATCTGTGGCAGAACAGGGGACTGGATCCAGTTTCACTGCCAGAGGCCCCATGTGGTCTATTTTTCCTTGAAAAGTACTTTTCATAGTCTAAACCCTGACTCCTGCAGATGCCTCCAAAACAAGAAAGGGAGGCTTGGAGGACCTCGTTTGGAGGACCTCACTTGCAGGACCCCCCAACACTGCAGCTCATCAGGGCACCCTGGCATACCCTGGAGACCAACATAATGTCAAGATTGGTCACAGTTATTGAAACCTGTCTTCCCTGTTGCTCGTTTTGCAGGTAAAGGGAGATGACTTCAGTTTTGTTCTCTTCTCACTCAGACCAGCTAATTATTAATTTCTGTTAGGAAAAATGACCTGAAAAATAGCTCCAAAATGGGAAAGAGAATGTCTCTTTTGGAGCTGTATAGCTACATGCCAGGATGAAAGTTTTGGGGTTTGTGTGTAATTTGAGTAATTTGTGAGTTATTTGCTTCTGAAACTAATTATTGTTAAAAATGAAAAATTACTAAATATGTCAGGAAAAGGAAACTTTCCTTTTTATGTTACTGCACCAGTAAAATATAAAAATTCTGGTCAAAATCCAACCATATGACTATCATTTTAAAATGATACCTTTGAGATTGTCGCTTCAATTTTAGACATGCTCTTCAGAAAGACATCTGTATTGTCTCACGTCAAGTGATAGGAAATGCAAATAGACCACAGTTTAAGTACGAAGATTACAGAGATTTATGCCTCTCTTTATACTTTATTTTTCTTTTTTTTTCCCCTAATAACATGCAGGGAAACTATAGCAAATGTTTTCTTATTTTTTTTAACTTACACTACTCTTTCCTGCTCAAATACTGATCTTTGTCCTCTTTTTTTTGCTTCAGTTTCTAACATGAAGTTCAAAATTTTCTGTAGCCGAGGTTTATGGTAATGAACAGCAGCAATAAAACATGTGCTTCAACTGGATGATGACCTTTTCTTAAATACCTCTTAATGTTTAGGAGAACTGCTATCTCCTGGTGTAAGCTATATACCTTACTTAATTTTGTGCTTATTCAGAAACAGTAAAATGATAGAGAAATTTATCTGATGACAGGGGAAGTTTAGATTGGATATAAGGAGGAAATTCTTTCCTGTTAGGGTGGTGAGGCACTGGAATAGGTTGCCCAGGGAGGTTGTGAACGCTCCATCCCTGGCAGTGTTCAAGACCAGATTGGACGAAGCCTTGGGTGATACGATTTAGTGTGAGGTGTCCCTGGCCATGGCAGGGTGGTTGGAACTTGATGATCTTAAAGTCCTTTCCAACCCTAACTATTCTACGATTCTATGATTCTATGACTTGAGTTCATCTCCTCCCAAGTTCCCACTTTTCAGGAGCTCAGAAGATAAAGTACTATCTTTGTTTTTGGCTGGCAAGCAGAGACATCAGAACCAATTATGGTTTTGGCAGTATGTTTCCGGGTAAGTAGCTCCTGCTTTTCACAGTGCCAAAAAAGATGCCAAAATCATGAGCCTTGCCTGCAGTCGTGGGGGTGGAGAGATGAATAGTTAGAGCAAGTTCAGTGTGACTTTGCGGCACAACGAGAAAGGGGAGCATCTTTTGATGGCAACAGATTACTTCTGTCTTCCTATACACACTTACTGGATTCTGGAGGAGATGAAATGGAATTTCTGAGAAAGAGAGAAAACTGTTTCTGATACAAGAAGGCCAGTTCTTGGCCACCTGGGCACAAGTTGGTTCACATTCAGGTGGCTGTTGACCAACACACCCATGTCCTTTTTTGCCAGGCAGCTTTCCAGCTGCTCTTTCCCCAAATTCTATAGATTTGCATGTGATTGTTGTGATCTACATACAGGACACCATCCTGCATGTTGTAAGAATGGTCTCACAGGAAAAACTGCAAGCTTATAACCTTTCCCTCTTCAATCTTGGCATGTATTTTTATAGACAAACATATGCACAAGTACAAATATTTCTATAAAATATATCTGAAAACTTTTTTTTTTAGTTTTGTTGAGGAGTCTTTAGATTTTAAATATAAGCATTGCAAGAATAAATAATCTGTTGTGTTTCACAAGGTGCTTACATGCTTACGTCTTACATCACTGTTTTTTTTCTTCAGACCTTTTACACTGAGGCCACTGGAGACATTATGGGTATAATTTTAGATAAGTAATGATGTCCAAAATCCCATTTGGATCTTAGAACATATTTTTCAGCTTGTTATTATAGACTTATTAATGCATAACAACTAATAAAATAGTCAAGTTTCCATTGCTCTCATTTTTGTTGTGGAGAATGTTTCTGCCATCACCATTTTTACTCTAAAGACTCCAAGCTGCTGTTTCCAGCTTCATAATGGGTGAAGAAGATTCAGATATTTCCTAAGTGCAATAGTGGTTTTAGTATATGTTAGAGAAATGTTGCAGTCACTGAATTCAGTGCAGCAGCTGAATAATCAGAGGTGTGAACTAGCTAGTATTTGAATAGGCTAAAAAGGCTGAGCTTTCTTTTCAGTTTTGGGTAATATTTGTATGTCTTCCTTGGGGAAGGGGATCACAGAGCACTCTTCACACGGGAATAGCATTCCTACAGCTTTTTTTTCTTTTTTGTTTTTTCTTCCAGTTTTTGAGAGTGGACCAAGACAAAGACAGAGAGTGCAGCCTGGACTGTGCAGGTTCCCCTCAGAAATCACTCTGTGCATCTGATGGAAGAACTTTCCTGTCCCGGTGTGAATTTCAGAGAGCAAAATGCAAAGACCCTCAGCTGGAAATAGCCTACCGGGGCAACTGCAAAGGTGAGCAAATCAAAGTTTCTCTTGACCATAATGAAAAATAATAGACTTAAAATAGTTTCTGAAAATATTTGTATATTGCAAACTAGGAGTGCTGTGCGGGAAAAACTTTCTAAAAGGAAGTAGGTTGAAATCCATCCTGTTGATTTACATAAAGGTAAATTGACCTTTATCAATCAGAAAAAATACTACTTCCCCACCCCTTTACAGTATAAAAAGTCCCTTTTAAGGAAATTTCAAGTTTAGGTCCTTCTTCTAAAGGACCATTGTCATTAGGAGACTTAGAGTAACTCGTACAGTTATCTGCAGAGGTTTCTTGTCTGTTGCAGTTCGGTATTTGGAGATGCTTAGATTCAGTCTTGTGTTTTCTAACTGCAACCATTTAGTTTGTGAGGGGTAAAAAAAAAGAAAGTTTTTTAATACTTAGAGCCCTTACAGGCCATTTCTGCCTACATAATCTACTCTTTTACTTCTGATGTCTGTTTGGAGAAACTGTGTGATATGCAACCCTGGCACTTCAGATCCAATATTTGTAAAGTATTCATAGTTAAATCTTTTCACTTTTCAAGTAGCCTGGTGCTAGAGAACACAGTTCCTTGCTGAAGTGTAGGGTGATTCACAACACAATGATCTTCTTTCTAAAATGTAAGAATAGCAGTGGTCATAAAGATTTACTTTCCCTTTCTTTCTTTCCAAAAGAGGGGTGGGATGGGTTGCGAGAAAACACCAGGGACCACACATATTCGACCTCTAGGAGGCAATTTTCCACATCATCTCTCTCCAGCTCCAGCAAACCTCTGAAGCATCAAGACTGCTTCAAAGAGATGTTCTGTCTTTGCCTAGATGAAACACTATGCTCATTCTTCAGCCCTTTCATAATAAGCCATTGTATTACCTGATGGATCTATTTACTTTTGCAGACAAGGATAGCGTAGTGAAGCTACCTGAGCCAAAGCTTTTGTTACACTCATGAACAACAGAGAGAATTCTTGTGCACTCTGCATTTGTTAATTTTATGCATGAGAGCATTATACACTTTTACAGAAATTGGTTTAACTGTTTTTCTTTATTGCTTTTTCCTCTTACCATACTGACAATATCATCTGCAAGAAATTTTTTCTATAAAGATACATTGAATTCCCTTACTGAAGGTGTCCTTGGTGATGGTGGCAAATTTTTCTGCAATATACAACTAGTATTTGGAGAGCTGCTCATTAGCTGTTTACTAATAGTATGTTGATACAATTGCAGACTTGGAATTGGACACCTTAAGCAACATAAGTGTTGCTAATAGCAAGTATACATCATGCCCTCATCAGTCAGATGTTTTTAACCTTTCAATTAAATGAAGGGAAGCATCACTCTAGTATTTAAAGATGTTTTTTCTTTTGATTTATAGACACATGATTGCCCATAATATACTTGGTCAATACCAGCAAGAGACCAGTGCTCTTTCATAGTATTTCTTACTCAATCAAAGCATCCTTAAATTTTGAAGTGACCAGTGTCTTAATTCCTACCTATGGCTCAAATCACCAGAAATATTTCAGGCTGTAAAAACAAGGTTTAGAGAATAAAAAGACGATTTGTTGGCCTAGCTGCAAGTCTCAGTTTTAGCATTTCTAGGGCTACTTTTGATAGTCCTATCAAATATTCTTCTTGAAAGAGCTAAGAAAGTCCTCAGATTAAGACCTCTTTTTAGTCAGCTGCTTTTGAGTGGTGAAATTTGTTGTTACAGGTGATATTTGAAGAAAGAGCAGAGGTTTATTTTAGTAGGGCTAGCCAAAAAGTGATGGTTCCATTTCAGGGCAACTTTCAAGGTTTAAGAATTTGCTTTCTTTAGCAAATCCTTTTGGAAGTGTTCATCTGTCCCCCTAAAAAAAACCAGACTTTGCTCCATCAAAACACTGGATTTAAAGCAAGTTTTGATGTTGCTAATCCAAGAAAAAGGGAAAGAAATATTCATGTTTGCATGCAGAAGTTATGAAGGGGAAAAAGAAATAATTCCTGGTACAGGATTCACAACTTCAAATCTGTGCCTGATAGTCATCAACCATTGATCAGAAAGGGCATTCTTAAGTCTGTGTCTGTCTTGCTCTGTCTTCTTCACAGGTAAAAATCCCTCTTCACAAAAATCTTGTATGAAAATTAAATACTTCCATGTATCTTTTTAATTAGTTGAAAACAGCGACCAACTTCTTGTTCGATTCAGTCTATTTGCTAGAAATCTAAACACTGACAGTTTATGTCAATGACTTTTTGGAATAACTGAGTCAATTTCTTCATATATTTTTTCTGTTTATATATTAAATTTTCTGTATTTTATATAGAAATTATATATAATTTTCTATCATTTTATCTTTGTTGTTTATATATTCAGAGCTATGTTTTCTTTTTACATCCATAGGGGTGTTTGAAACACCACCAGACAGACGGCTTCTTTCCTTTTTTTTTCTGAGAAAGCCAAATTTAGCTTGACTATCTTTTCTCCTCCTCACCTATACTGAGCATTTGTCTCACTTGTTTGATTATGATCACTTAAATACTAAAATTAAAAGGGGATAATTTGCCTTAAATATGCTTGCTTTCCTTTCTTAATTCAAGTTTGATTCACAGCAATAATGCTCAGCCCAGGTAATTCTTTAGCATTGCAAAGGAAACCACTTGACGATCTTGGATCTTGACAGCTAACTGGCAGAACTTAAACTGTTTTATTTTTCTCACACTCATTTTTTTTTATATAATCCATTGCTAAGATTGGAAATGTTGTGAGAAGCTACAATCTCATAAAATTTCCAGCCTCTTTTTGCAGTTCCCAAATAATCTGTGTGTACTGTAGGTGAGCATCCAAACTTTGAATGCTTTTCCAAACAAAATCTAAACTGGAGATTTGCCACTTGGTTGACACAGATGTTTACTGTGCAACAAGGTTATGAATCTAATAAATAATATTTCTCAACTGTCAACATACATTTATTTGTGTTAGGGGAACTGTTAAAATATCACCTGTGATGGGGATCCACTACACACATGCAAATGCTTCACAGTAAATCTGGCCCAGCATAGCCAAACAAACAAAGCATACAAGAAGTGGAAAAGCAATGTGATTGCTTTTAAACTGGCCAGAAAGACACAGAGGCTATGTCTGTGCTAATTAATTAAGAAGTGCCAGAGCACAGTGTGACTGCGTACACCTGTAAGCTGGTAGATTGCACAAAGCCATCTTCTTTTAGGGATTTAAGGCAGTTCAACCTGAGAACTGAACCTACCTGCTCTTACAGTACTGCCCTTATACATGCCAGGATCAGTCTATTCCTATGACTAGTACAAACTCATGTATGAGGCCTTTAGCACTTAGCCTTGTTCCCTAAACTACAGCTGGTGAGAACGGGATGGGAGAGCTTTAGATGTCACACAGGAAGCCTTTGCAAGCTACAGAACTGACCCTTTGATACTCTTTGTTAGTGCATGCAAAAAGTACAGTTTGAAATTTCTAATTCTTGAAAATAGGACCAACCATGCGGAAGAAACGTGTCTACAAAAAATAAAAAAAAAGAAAATAAAAAGAAGGAAAAACCTTATTCTAAAAAGTAAAGAACCTTCTTCTAATTTATATACCTGAACGATGCATTTGCCCATTATGAGTAGGAAGTATTGCTCAGCACTGCAGTTTCCTGTAGGGCCAGTAGCTGTGGTTTTACACTTAATAGGGATTTTACATGATTTGGAAGATGGTATGGGTTACTCGAAAAGGCTTGTATGAAAACTGAAATGCACAAAACATCATCTAAAAGTGTCTTCCCCAGCAGAAATGGGAGAGGCATTGGTAAGTGAAGATCTTGTTTATCTTAGAAATGTGACACTGAATGTCTGTCACAAATCATGACAGATGTGATTATCTGAAACAAGTTATTTTGCTTTTTCTTATGGAGCACCTTGTACATATCAAATGAAGAATTCTGCCATTTTTTTTTAACTGTTCAGAATTGCTCTGTAAAATTCAGTCTTCTTGCTATAGAATGAGGTTGCACACAGAATATTCAAATTTTCTATTGCCATGAAAATACTACATTATTAAAAAAAACAAAACACCAAAAACAAACCAGAAAGAGAATGCTTCAACTCATTTCTGCAGACTTCTGTAAATTTTACTGCTGCTGAAATCTGTCAGGTTTGTTACCTGACACTTCACTACTCAGCCAGTACCTTCACTACTCAGCCAGGTTTTTCACATGAACTTTGAAAATATAAATTCATATTTTTCCTGTAGCAGCTTTCAAACAATTTTAAGCTTTTAAGCATAGTTTACTGTGACAATAAATAACATGTATTAGCTTTGAAAGATAAAATGATGATGCTGGGTGTTGCTGAGTGGGATCGAAGGATTTTTCAATGAAACCATGCATTGTTTTTGAAATGACAGTGAGCCTTAGTCCTAGCTAGGTTAGTGGAGGATTTGGGAAGATTATGGGACTAATGGATTTTTTTTTCGGAATCTAATATCTTTGAATAACTCCATTCTCATTGGACAGGTTTTTTTCTCTCATCTCAGTAACTTCAGGTCTCTAGTGTAGAAAGTCTGCTAGCAGATTGCGTCTTGTTCAATGTGAGCAATATCTGGAATGGGAATGTCTAGTGGAGGGAACACAGGTTTTCTGTAGTGCATCACAAAGCAGACAGTGTCTGGTGGACCGTAGCAATTAATTTGCAGTTTTGCTAATGGTGTACGGGTGAATTGGAAGAGGTGGCACTGTTGTTCATCTGGGGTAGTCTGAACTTCATTTAAGTATTTGAACTCCTTGTGAATGCTGAGATTTAAGTAACTTCTCAGGAGGAAGCTGAAGAGCGTGTGCAATTCTGTGACTGAATTTTGGCTTTCTGGCTACTGGGAATGTTTCATCTGAACTACAAAGCCTCTGTTTCCCATGAAGGTGTCCTACATAGAGGAGGAGTTTCTATTAATGTAACTAAAGTTTGCCTTGAAAGTGGTCTGCAAGTTTTGC